TCAGATGTATTATTTCATGCACTTAAATATTAATGTTCTGATTTTATTAGTCAAAAATATTTAATCTCAGTTCTGAGGCTGCTCTGTAAATAGTTTTCAAATAAACAATACACATATCAACTTCTGATCGATCCATATCAATTTCAGATTTCAAATCATGTATTGATGTAAACCACACCCACTAATTTCCAAATAATAAATAAGAGGTGCATTCATCTGTGTATCTCCTTTGATCTGCATTAGTGATATTTTCAGCACCAGAACAGCGAAGCAAAGAAACAGATTCCTGAGTTTATGTTAGTAATTTTATTTATTAGGTGCATCTGACCTGTTCTACTTTTCTCTGAAATGAGATCAAATCAGTGCTTCTATGGGGTTGTCTCCTCTCTGCACTAGAAACATGTACTTTATTATAATGTTCACTGCAATGCATCTTGATGTTCTTAACAAATAAATTAAATCAAAGATATTGGTCAGTAATGCCAAATATGTAAATTTGTGTTTCAGTCACTTTTATACTGGCTTAAAAATACTTAATTAAGTCTACTAAGCAGGGGTGTAGAAGGTGTTTAATAAGGCCAGCCCAGTAATGATCTTGGGCCAAAATAAAGGGGGCAGAAGGAGATGTTTTTCCAGACGCCAAGAAAAATTAAATGCCAAACCCCCCCCCTGCAGAGTGTGTCACTGAGAGTTTAAAACAAAAAATATTCTTGTGCAAATATTGGTGTATTCACCTTTAATACTAGTTATTAAAATGCAGCAGTTGCTGGATTGGTGCAATTCAAAGTGGAGTGCATCAAATAAAACAATATTAACATAAAGGTGAGACGTGTCATAATGTGTCTCATCATGAGCATAAAACATATGAAGCCAGGTAGCAGTTTTTCTTTAGGATTGAGAGGAGATGCAGGTAGGGTTGGGCATTGAGCATCGAATGGAACCGGTTCCAACTGTTCATTTTTCCCGGAATCGCTCCATGTTTTTTATTTCGATTTCTAGTTTCGATTCCTAGAATGCAGACGTTAGAGAAATCCACGGCCGATCTCCGTGAAAAATAAACGGGATCTGTGATCAACGCTTTTCAGAGCTGATCACACCAGCTATCTGTGTTCATCACCGAGTCCCCCCCTCCCCCCACCCGGATATAAACAAACGTGTCAGCCGAACTTTTACTCCGTAATGTAAACTTTTAACTCCTGCAGCATAGGGGAAACTTGTTAAATACGTCAACACGGTGGATTTAATAGAAGCTTTAAAGAACAAACTCTGGACGGTGTGAGGTGAGTTTGTGTCTCTGTAGAAATAAAAACACACAAGGAGCGTCAGCAGTCAGACACGTGAGCGTCAGAAGGCTGAACAACAACCTGTAGAAATTAAAGTCATCATACTGGAGAAGCTTCTCTGTTGTGGACCACACCAGCTTCGGCCATTTCTGTTGAGAGTTTTAATGTTTAAAATCTGTTAGATTGTTACTGACAGCAGCTACATTTAAGTTTCACTTTCTGTTCTGACTGAACACTGCTGCAGCATGGAGGTGTAGTTCTCAGTCATCCTGGACATGATCATCCTGAGAGTTTTAGCTGAAAACAGCTGGACGTCTGTAGATACCGTAAATCCTCTAATACAGGCCCGGGCCTGTATTTGACTCACACTCCTCAAGCTCCAGGCCTTTATTGGAAGGAGGGCCAGAATTAGAGGCAGGCCTTTATTTCTATTTGAGCAAAATGAACTAATGGTTCGCTGGAGTTTTTGACAATTAAAATTGCGCCCACATTTTCAAAGTTAAACACATTTCTTTTAACAACGGTAGTTTCTGCTTCAGCCCTCTGCCCCCTCCCCCTGCGCAGCGGCCGCAAACTCACTGATGCGCCTGCAGCCTCTCAGAGTTCCTGCTGCTCTAAACATTAGAATAATTATTTCATTTTCTGTTCCTCACTTCTGATTACCTTCAATGGTGTCTGTTTGTTGCTACCAGGTACAAAAACTAACTTGTTTTTATTTGACTATTTTTCTGTCCTGCCTGTTTATTATCTTCCTGCATCTCCTCTCAATCCTAAGGAAAAACTGCTACCTGGGTTCATATATATTCACCTCATGAGTTACCTTTGAACTGCAGTTCTAAAAGATCTACCGACCGCAAAAACAGCAGAGTGCTCGCTGCCGCTTGCCGGCCACATCAGTTAGGTGAGACACCGAGGACAAAACAGGTGATGCGCCCCGATCCACAGCAGCGACACGCATCTTGTTGTGGAATCAGGTGTCAAGTGTCCAACCCTTGTTGTTCTGTGATGATCCAGATGTTTGCAGATGTTTTCTCTGGGTACTCCGTCGGGTTCGTTAGTAACTACATTGGCCCTGGAAAGGTTTTAACGGAAGAGGATTAGAGCCACTGTGAGGAAAGAGAGAATTTAGACTTTTTTTCTCAGAATTAAAAAAGTCAGAATTCTCTTTTTTTCCTTTTCAGTGGCTCTAATCCTCTTTTGTAGCTTTTAATAGTCTTCATTAGTTTTCATTTGTCTTCAGTTTAGACTCCAGATGTTTTATTTGTTTTAACTGTTCCGCTGTGCTCCTGATGCAGAGGGACACACACTGTCGGAGATGCCTACTTTGGCTTGACACCATCTGCTGGAATGATGTGGCAGAGTAAGAAAAAACAAACAGCCATAAACTAGACTTAATTGTGATGGAAGTGAAAATGAAGCTCATTCTCTAAATGA